ACTTGCATGAAAATCTGTAGCTTAGTGATAATAAAACAGTAAAAAATATAAATACGAGCACTTCGCTTCAATTAAGCGAACGAATTGAATTTTCCACGAGCCATTAAAATGCTCCTAAAAATTTAGTACGTGTCTGAGCACTTAAATAAATGAACAGTACTAAATTCTAGTATCATCGCTATTAATTTCAGTGAGGTAATATATCGTACATAGCAGGGATTATACAAGAGCTTTTAAAATTATGCTCCATTTAAAAGAACGATTTATTAGATTTTACCGGTATTATTTAATATAACGTCTGGACCTTTTGTTATTTTTTCACAACGTTAAATATTTTTTTAATAGTACGTTAATATTTTCTATCCAATTCGATCTAATGATATAACTTTCATCAAACACTACCACTATTTTCACTGTAGCTTCGTAAAACATAATCAGTGTTACTCCAAAAATTAGTATTACTCAATTAATAACTATATGCTGAATTTAAAATTTTATTCTTCACTAATATAATTTTTCCAATAACAATAACAAATTCTGTTCACAAATCAACAACTCATCTCATGTGACACAGTTAAATAATTTCCTCTCTGTGGTTGTTATTAGAAAAAGAAAATTATTAGTAATTTTTGCAAACTGGTAATTGCAAACGATGATGATAATATAGTGATTAAATATTTTTTTCTATAGTGTTAGTTACAGTATTATATACTATTTGCAGAGAATTAGAATTTTCTAATTATTCGGTGCGTCGTTCTATTTTTTTGCATATTTCAAAAACCATCTCAAAAATCGACAAACTGCCGCGACCACAAACGCGTTGTAAAAAGGGACAGTTTTGAAATCAACGCAACAGGGTGAACTTTTCGCGATACGCTCCCCGCATATTTAGCAACGAATTTCGCAATGCCCGGTGAAACATTTGCCAAGTTTCGACCCAATTACGAGTTATTTGCGCTCGTTAAGTATAAACGACGCGTCACACGCGGAATTACGCCGAGAATGTAATACTTTCGATAAATCAGGCGTCGCTGTTATTGAAAACAGCTTTTAACGGGACGGTCGGTGATGTTCAATTACACGACAAACGTTAATTTCATTAGGCGTGCCAATTTCCGAAAAATATAGCCTGTCGCGTCGCGGGAACGACTTTCAAAGGTGCTCGTTACGCGGGAAAATGCGAATCGGAGCTTTGTACGAACTGTAGCATGGTCCGCAGGGTTTTACAACACGCTTTTCGTCGTGTTATAGTCGGAACAGTGAAACATAGATATAGTAGATTTACTAAAGCGTCGATACGAACCTTGAAAACAAGTTGAAGTTGATAATTCGGCTGTGTACTTCTATCATGTAAGGTTAAGTCACTTCGATTGCAATAATGTTATAGTCGGAACAGTGAAACATAGATATAGTAGATTTACTAAAGCGTCGATACGAACCTTGAAAACAAGTTGAAGTTGATAATTCGGCTGTGTACTTCTATCATGTAAGGTTAAGTCACTTCGATTGCAATAATGTTATAGTCGGAACACTGAAACATAGATAGTAGATTTACTAAAGCGTCGATACGAACCTTGAAAACAAGTTGAAGTTGATAATTCGGCTGTGTACTTCTATCATGTAAGGTTAAGTCACTTCGATTGCAATAATGTTATAGTCGGAACA